ACACACATACACACACATACACACATACACACACATACACACACATACACACACATACACACACACACTAAATGCTTTAAAACAAATAAAACAAAAATTTTAAATCATCAAGAACAATAACAATCACCAAGAAAACATCTCACCAGGTCACCAAGTTCTGCTGCTTCAGGAGGCCCTCTCTGGGCCTTCTCTGTTGAAAACCCTTCCTGTGTTTGCTGAAGCTGAGCCTCACATCTGCCTGTCTTTACTGAAGAGAAGGAAGGATTACAATTCCATGAGTGAATACTGAAGATTCCTGTAGAGGAACGGGGTGTGGCAGGGAGTAGGGGACCTGACCCAAGGCTATCTTCCTGCTATACTCTACCAGTGCCCCCTTTCCCCTGAGGTGTACCCTTTGTTCTCTTGCACTCCCCACCCCAGAGGGCTCCCTAAAGCAGCTCTGTGAGCAACTGTCCCCAAAGCCAAAGTCCTCACCGCAATCCCCTAATTCCTAGTCTTCCTCTGCTTTCTAAATTAGCATCTAATGTCCTGCCTGCTCCAGCCACTGTGATCTTTCAGTACAGTAACCAGGCTCCTGTCCCAGGGCCTTTATATACTGTCCCTCTGTTTGAAGACTCACTACCCTGTGATGGGTATGTTTTCTTCCTGTAGATGTCTGCCTACCAGATGATCTGAAGGAACTCTCCTGATTACCCTTAATGCTGAAAACACCAGCTTTGTCTTCTCTATGACTGCTTCCCAATTGTACTTTTCTTTACACTTCTGACCACCACTCGATAAGTTTCAGTGAAGTAATAAAGAGAAGAGAGTCCACAGCAGCTAACTATGATTTACAGGAGCAGAGGGGGAGGGGAGAGATGGTAGGACCAAGGAAAAGCATGTGTAGGCGAGAAAGAGAGAGCAAAAGAGAGGGCAAAGAGAACGCTCATAGCAGGGTTCTAGGGATAGGAGCAGCTGTACCAGCAGGGTTCTAGGGACAGGAGAAGCTGCACTAGCAGAGTTCTAGGGACAGGAGCAGCTGCACCAGCAGGGTTCTAGGGACAGGAGCAGCTTCACTAGCAGGGTTCTAGGGACAGGAGCAGCTGCACCAGCAGGGTTCTAGGGACAGGAGCAGCTGTACTAGCAGGGTTCTACGGAGCATGAATAGCTGGGGGAGGGGAGCTCCTGAGCTGGAGGGAGGAAGTTTGGGGTAGGCGAAGGCGAGAAGAACTAGGTACATGTGATACCCAGGGAGCCTGGCGGCCAGCATGTGCTTTGGTGTGCTAGTAGGCACCACAAACAGCCATTTGTCCCTTCTGCTAGCAGTAAGGAAATGGCTCCTTTGGTAGAGGGGAACCTATTTCTCAAGTCCTGAAGAATGCTGGCTTTTGTTTAATCAATCACCAGAATTTAGGGAAACAGAGTTTCCACTGGTCCTGGAATATACAATGTATTTGATTGTTTCCACCACGTTACTCCCTTCAACTCCCTACAAGCCCTGTAGCTCACCCCCATCTTTTTGTTATTCTTACGATTAACATCCCCTGAATTCAGCAGTGCTAACCCTGTGCTAGTGACTAACCGGGAGCCATCTGCTGAGGAATGGACAACCTACCATCCCTCCCCTGCAGCTGAATTTCAAGGTGGTTTTGGGCTACCTGAGGCGGGTGCTGGGAACTGAACCGCCGTCCTCTGGAAGAGCAGCAAGCACTCCTAACCACTGAGTCACTCTAACTAATAATTAAAAAAACAAAACAAATAAACAGGAAACAAAAACCCCAGGAACTGCAGCCAGCTACCAAAAAAAAATGTTATTGTTTCCTTTTCTCTAGTTTTTCTGGTAATATCTTCCTAGGAGAGATTGTCCTTGCTTCTTATTTTATGAGTGATATATTTTGTTTATTTTTACACCACCACTACCACCAACAACAACATGTGTCTGTGTCTCTCTGTGCTTGTGCGCCATGGTATACCTGTGGAAGTCAGAGGACAACTTTCAATCCTCCACGTGAGGTCAGATGATCAAATTCAAATGGCTAGACTTGGTGGCAAGTGCCTTGACCTGCTGAGCCATCTTGCCAACCCCTAAAATATTTTCCTATAAAATTCTTTGTCGTTGTTGTTTGAGATTGAGTCTTGCTGTGTAGCCTGGGCTGACTCAACTTTCGAAGTGCTGGGATGTGTTGCCACCATGTTGGGCTCTTATAATAGCCTTAAAGTAAGCTGGTGTTCAGGATGGAAGCATCCACAGAGGTGGATCAGGGCTGGCTGCGGGACCAGGAAGTGAAGCCTGGCCAGGTGAACCACGGAAGAGTTCTTCTTCTACACAACCTGTGAGTGGGATCATTGGGATCAGGGACCAGAGGCTCTGGCACTCATCCTGGGGACCCAGATTTCCTCCTGTACCCCCTCTTCCTACATTGCTTCAGAGCAAAACCAAAATTAGTTCTATCTAGACAAGCAAGGGTTGGTGTGACACTCTGAAATGACAGACAAGGCTCAGGAACTTGGGCTCTGCCAGAGGCAGGTCTGGGCTTGGCTCTTGGTTCAGCTATAGGCGGTCTGTGTTCTCTGAGCTACAGTGTCTACATCTCTAAACAGGGATAACAAAGAGTCTTCCTTCAGGGATAGATGACCCTATGTGGAAGCTAGAAACCTGGGCATATAGAAAGCCTTTGACAAACTGGAACTTAATGACAATGATGGTGATGATAATAATAATATTATTATTACTGTTATTATTACCGTCACTAAAACACCAGCAATGGAACAGTAGGGAGGTGGGGATGGGGGACAGTCAGGGATGGTGTTTATATGCAGAGAAGTGTTGGATGTTACAAGTTGAGGAGCAGGTGTTAGGGTGGGGAAGAGACTGACTGAGAGACATTGAGAAAGGCAGATGGAAACTGGCCCCTCCTAACTAGGTGATGAAGCCCAGTTACAAGCCAGTTCCAAGTGGGAGGACCCAGGGCCCCTGGGAACAGAGAAGCAGTCACACTTGTTGAACAGGGACAAGATACGAGGAGGAGGATACCTGGGTTCCCCATTAGAAGTGTGACCAGTGGTGAGGGCCATGAGTACTGGCGTGTGTGTGTGTGTGTGTGTGTGTGTGATGTTGTACTGATTCCTCCTTCTTCCCCAGGGTTGCCCTGGCCCCTGGGGAAGATGAGCAAGCAGTAGCACAGTGGCTTTTACAGGAACACATGTCCCTCCATGCAGGTAGACAGGATGGGTGTCTGGTCAGCTTCTCCCTCCTCTGGTCTTCCCGCCCACTCTTCCCCTGGGGGTGGCTGGCTCGCCCAATTCCCTTGCTCCTCACCCAGGGCTCCTGATCTTTCAATGAAAGCTGCCGGAACCCTTCCTTGTCACTAACAGAGGAATGCCACTCATTCAACACTGGGGTCCCCAAAACCTCAGTACTTAACCACAGACCCAGAATTCCCAGTGTCTAACTGCACTGTGGATGTGTGTGAGGACAGGCACCTGCAGGTAGAGACATGCCAGGAGGGAGATGGGATCCAGAAATGGTCACCCGTCTCCAGTCTCTGTGCCCCTGTGCATGCTGGCTTACCCAGGATGGGTCGTCTAGCCTGTGGCTTTGCTCTCCTCATACCCTTGGGGTCTCACCTGTTTGTGAGTCCTGTTTCCTAAATACCCCCACCCTGCCGCCTCCAGAAGACAGCAACACCTATCTCCTCGGATGTTTCTGTCCCCACCCTGCGCCCCAAATTCCTGGGGTTAGGCAACTGGAACACTTTTGCATCCGTCTCATCTTATTTTTTTCCCCTCCCTCCTGATGGCCCGCTCGCCAGCCCTCTCTGTTTCAACACTGGCTCTCGTTCACAATTAAGCCTCATTACCCTATCTGTGGACAGGCCCTGAGTCACTGGAGGAGGGACCTCAGGCAGCCCAGCCCTGTTACCTTTTCCCAACCTACAGTATAAGGGGTAGTGGCTGAGAAGGAAGACTCTGGAAAGCAGGGGAGTCTGGGAACAGAGGGAGAAGGCTGTGGGTCCTGGGAAGGGAGAATAAGAAAAGAGGAAAGAAAGGAAGGAGGTTTCAGCCCAGAGGGAGAGAGAAGGGAACAGTAGACTGGGCTGCAGAGATCCTCAGGGGAGAGAGGGAACTGGGCAGAGATGAAGCTGCAGGGGTCTCTGGCCTGTCTCCTGCTGGCCTTATGTCTGGGTGGTGGGGCAGCTAACCCGCTGCACAGTGGAGGGGAGGGCACAGGGGCAAGCACTGCCCATGGAATGGGAGATGCCATTAGCCATGGAATTGGAGAGGCTGTGGGCCACGGGGCTAAAGAAGCAGCCAGCTCTGGAATCCAGGATGCCCTAGGTCAGGGGCGCGGAGGGGAAGGCGGCTCTCCACTGATGGCGAGCAGAGGCGATGTTTTCGAGCACCAGCTCGGGGAAGCAGCCCGGTCTCTGGAGAACGCTGGGCATGATCTTGGCAGACAAGCTGAGGAAGTCATTCGCCGAGGGGTAGATGCTGTCCACAGCCCTGGGTCCTGGGTGAGTGGCTGGGAAACCGGGTGTGCGGATGGGGGTGGGCGTGGCTGGATCAAGAACCTTGAGCGATGGATCAATGGGTGAAGAGATGGTTCCTTGGTGGCTGTCATGAATCTATCCTCTCCCGCATGGTCCCCCTTTCTCCCCCCACCCCCCATGGTACTGATTTCCTCTCTTTTATGATTGTCAGAGATAGTCACACTAAGGATGGGCATATTGTCTTTGCAGGGGACATCTGGTGGTCATGGCGTGTATGGCTCTCAAGGTGGTGTTGGAGGCCAGGGCTATCCTGGTCCTCAAGGGACACCCTGGGCCTCAGGAGGCAACTATGGAACTAACTCTCTGGGTGGCTCTGTGGGTCAGGGTGGCAATGGCGGGCCACTCAACTATGAAACCAATGCCCAGGTAAAGTCATTGCCCAGACCCATCCCTCAACCCTGTTCTCCCCACCCCTCCTTATCTCTGGATCCTAAACTCGGTTTCTGCCTCCCTGCAGGGAGCTGTGGCTCAGCCTGGCTACGGGGCAGTGAGAGGCAACAACCAAAACTCAGGGGTAAGATAGAAGCGTGAGATGGGATGGGAGGGATGAGCAGAAAAGGGGGGGAGGTCACGAGTCAGGGAAGAGGGAGGGAACTGGGCAAGAAAGCTAAGCCACAGGCAGCAGAGGCCTGGCCAGCGGAGGTTGCTTTGATATCTTGGCGCTCACGGTGTCCCCTTCCATCCACAGTGTACCAACCCCCCACCTTCTGGATCCCATGAAAGCTCCGGCAACTCTGAGGTAAGAGGAGTGCGGCCTATGAGTTCGGCTCTGGGAAGGCGGGATGCACTGCTGTCTGGGGTTGGCGGTGGGCAAAGCTATACAGGGCTCTGTATGGGGACAAGGAAGGCAATTGTGTGGGCTCTGCCCTTAGACACCGCTCTGTTCTTCTGGCCCTTAGGGAAGCAGCAATGGCGGCAGTCGTGGTGGCCAAGGTAGTGGCAGCAATGGTCAGGGCAACAGCGGGGGCCACGGAGGCCAAGGCAACAGCGACAACAGTGGCAACAGCGACAGCGGAAGCAGAGGCAGCAACAGCGGCAACAGCGGGAACAGCGGCAACAGCGGCAACAGTGGTTCTGGGTCCCGGGTAAGTTTCTTCCTTAGGATGGGATCACAGTCCCAGTGGTGAGGACACAGGCTATGGGGTTTCCCCGTAAAGCTGTCACAGCCCTGTAGCGGATGGCTTCAGTGACAGTGGTCATCCGCGACTCCTTCAGCCCCATTCCCCCATCTTCCCCGCCCTCTTTACAGGGCGCCTTACTCAGGGACACCGACTTTCTCCTACATCGCCCACTCCCTTCCTGTGCACGCTGTCACAGTGGGAAAGCTCTGGCTCAGGTCTAACCTTTACTGCTTGCTGAGCAGGGCTGAGGGTGAGGGGAGGGAAGAAGACAGGTGGGCATAGGAAAATATTGTAATTTCCAAGACCAGGAAAGCTGAGGCAGGAGGCTCACTATGAATATGAGGGAAGTCAGGGCTTCATAGCTATGTCTTAAGCATAGCGAATAAGAAAACCCCCCATTTGTTTGGGGGTGCTTCCAGGAGAATAGGGGAGGGTTGTCGCCATGGAGACTTAAGGATAGCTGAGGTGTAGACAAGGCTAGTAACGGTGTGTGTGTGAGGCCCCGTGTGATGAGTGGGAGCCCCAGGAGGGGCACCTTAGAAAGGAGAGACGGTTCAAACTCGGAGGCCACACGAGTTTCCCTAGGGGTCTGAGAATTGTGTCAGCCAAAGGAGGAGGCTGGTCAGGTGCCCAGGGGTAGAGAGTGCTTGTCTGGGATGTACTAAGTCTGTGTTCCATCTCCAGTTCTACATAAGCCAAATGTGGTGACACACTCCTGTAATCCAAGCTCCTGCGGGTGGAGGCAGGATCAGGAGTTAAAGCCATCCATGGTTACATAATGAGTTCCAAGGTTATCCTGGGCTACATGAGAACAAACAAACAAACAAACCAACAACAACAAAACAAACAAACCCAAATAAATAAAGCCAGTCGCAAGTGGCTGGCTTTACGTAAAGAGTCTGAGACTACCCTCTCTCCTCATTCAGGACCTAGAAACATCTAATTTTGATGATGGCTATTCAGTCTCCAGGGTAAGAACTCTAGGGTGCCTTTTTCCTTTTTATTTTTGGTAAGCGAGGGTGTATAAGGGTGGGCTGGGGTGGAACAAGCCCAGCCTGCCCCCTAGTGGCAGCTTCTTTAATTTTTTATGTGGTATACATGTGTATGTAGGTCATGAGTGCAGGTGCCCTCAGAGGCCTGACTGGTGGATCCTCTAGAGCTCGGGTTCATAGAGTTTTGAGGCCCCCAACATGAATCCTGGCAACTGAACTCAGGTCCTCTCAAAGAGCATGTGTTCTTAACCTCTGAGCCATCTCTTCAGCTCAGCCCCAGTGACAGCTTCTTATAGTTGTGTGTGTCTGTGTTTGTGCACGCACGTGTGCGTTTGAGAGAGAGAGAGAGGGAGAGAGAGAGAGAGAGAGAGAGAGAGAGAGAGAGAGAGAGAGAGATAACAGCTCAGACTCCCCAAGTCACTGTGTATTTCCAAACCCTGGGCCAGACCTGGCCTTCTATTGCTGAAGTTCAACTACCTCTTGCAATCAGCTGGCCAAAGACAGGGAAGAATGAAGGCTGGAGAGATGGCTGGGAACTTCTGGGTCCCTTTGCATACTCTTTAGGGACATTATGAGGACTCTTTTTCTTGCAGGGAAGTAGCTCTTCTTCCAGCAGCAGAGGTGGAAGTGGTGGTGGAAACAAACCTGAGGTGAGTGGACACTGGAGATGCTGGAAGAGCGGTCAGGGATGGGGCTTGGCTGCATATGGTAGCATCATTGTCTCCAAGAGGTGGATGACGATGCTGCCATCGTGGGGCTGGGACTGCAGAGCAGCAGGAGACTGAGAAAAAAATAATCTTTCCCTACAGTGTAACAACCCAGGGAATGATGTGCGCATGGCCGGAGGATCCGGGAGTCAGGTGAGAGGCTGACAAACTCACATGCACGGTGGCAGCCTTTCATTGCTGTGCTGTGCCCCCAGGAGCCCGCTCTGCTCAGCCTCATTCCTGATGCTCACCCCAGGAAACCTGGGAGGAGAACAAACTTGACAAGGAAGATACCAAATAGAGACTCTTAAAATCTCAAGTCTCCAAAGTCACAGTGGACGGCGGGAAAGCATTACTTCATTTCTGATGTTCTTGTGTGTGTGTGTGTGTGTGTGTGTGTGTGTGACTAAGGATTGAACCCTGGGCCTTGGTTATGCTAGGCAGGGACTCTACCACTGAGCCACGCCCCCAGGCCCTCACTGAGGGATTCTAGGCAGGGGCTCTACCACTGAGCCACGCCCCCAGCCCCTCACTGGGGGATTCTAGGCAGGGGCTCTACTACTGAGCCACACCCCCAGCCCCTCACTGGGGGATTCTAGGCTGGTGCTCTACCACTGAGCAGCCTGCCCCCTGCCCTTCTCCAGCCTCTTAATGCTGGATTTTAGGCAAGTGTTCTACCATGGAACTAAAATTTTCATTCTCTCTCTCT